GTTATTTTAAAATTCTTAACTTTTCTTCATCCAGTGTGCCAGGTCAGATACGGCCCTCTGAACGAAACATCTATCCACCTGTTTAATTTTAGAGCAACCTTGTGCGCGCGCGTGTGTGTCGTAAAATGTGAGCTGTGTTCTGCTGTCTGCTATGCTGGCAAAAATTGAGAACCATGCAGTCATGAATGGATTTACTTTGTATCTACACCTGTCCAAAGTACTGCAGATTTTAGGCAAGGGCGTTTCTATCCTTCTGTTTGCGTTGCCAACGAGTACCCGTGCTCATAGCTGATTAACCTGTCTCACCGAGTACTGTAACAGCCCAAGTGGCTACTAAATTTTGAGAGTTACTTGGATGCTGCTGCTATTCCCCGGCCTTGGTGTAGATCTGCTCAACTGCCTTGTGGTCAGCTGTGGGAACAAGCTGCTGCAATGAACCTAGCTTCCTCATGTGTGGTTGTGGGAAACGCATTGTCCGAGCGGAGTGCGTCCAGCCTCCCTTCCCTAAGGAATTGGAAAGCACGGTTCAGGCTGCAGGACAAACTTCCGAAAAGGTCTTGCAAGCCAGTTTCTCTTAGGAGGCCCAGTAGAAGCAGGAAGAGGACGTCCTGTAATGAGAATATCGTAATATATAAGTATAGGCTGTGTATTAAAAGAAATGAGATAACAAGAGCATGCAGATGTACATCCAGCAATTCAGGAGATAATGAGGAGCAGTGTTTTCCCTGACATCATTTGATATGAAGTTGCGAGGAGGTTTTGTAGTGTAAAACATCCACAACTCGGAAATACTCCAGAGGTTTGTTTGGGTGTCTTAGCTGTGGGCTTGGCTATGTTTGGGCGTCTTGGCTATCAAAAGGTTCCAGCTGTATCAAATAATCCAAAATAATCAGCAGTTCATCTCCTAGGCCATTAGTGCCCTGTTCTTTGTGCTGTTTTTGAATTTGTTGAAAGCTTAATTATTGCAATTACAAACAGATGGTGAGATAACTTGTTCTACATGTCAAAATGATCAGTTTGCAAAGCAAAAAACATGTAAGACTTCTCAGAATAAGAAAATGGCCTTGTGTAAAGGAAAGAAGGAACAAATTTGAAAAGCAATTTCCTTTCTTAACTGCTGTGTTTCAGAAGGACAAGACATCTTTGCTCTATTTACTTGAATCTTCAGAGGAACCGACAGAGCAACTGGATACCTTGAGATCTGAGCGCCTCGCTTTATCCTGAGCACGTGTGTTTTGGAGAGCTTCGCTTGCTCGTGCTGCCCGCCTCTGGGCTCTCCTTTCTGCTTGTTCTATTCTCACCCTTCGCTGCCCCCATCTACTCCGAAGTGGCTTCTGAAAATATTCTAAATGTCAAATAACCGTCTTCCAGCGTGTTCACACGCATTGTAACTCCTTTCACATAGCGATGTGCAGAAAGAGCCTTCTGGTGCTTGACAAAAAAAGAGGAAACATCAGGTACAGGTCGCCCCTAAGCCAGTGGGCTCTTTTTGGGGATAAGAGCTTCTCTATTAAAGGAATTGCTTATGTAACAGCCCTTTTCCACAGGGAAAGTCACCTTCTCTTTTAAAGAGTGTAAATAGCTATAGTGTCCCTACAGCTTTCTTTTCCCCCTCTCTCCCCTGAATGCCTTTCGGTAATTGAGCAATGGCGCAGACAATTTATGCTTTAACAGTCTCAGTATGAAGGGAGCAAGATCATGGGCAGTCTGACATTAAATAATTCAGTTTGGGCAAACAAGGTACTTTTTTTTAGATCCAGGAGGAATAGGTTGTATTCAGGCAAGCGTCAAAGGAACTCGTCTTTAAATTCTCATTTACTTCATTGCTGTTAGCGAACAATGTGAGATCGTGTCCTGCTTGGGCCCTTTTGGACAGAAATGATCCAAACAGGGTTGCAGGTCACAACGCGGGGATGTTGGCAGAGCCATATAGGAACCTGATCATTTTTTGAAGTTTTCCTTATAAAGATGCTGTTTGCAAGTAAACATAAAAAGAAGCAGGTGCTTCCTAGTTCATTAGTTAAAGTTTCAAAATTGAGTTCATCTCCAGTGTTTTTCCTTCCAGTAAATATGATTTTTTTTTTCTTTTTAAGGTGGCTACTTTTACTGTTGTTGTCTTAGCCCAGTGACTATGATGTGAAAAGGAATTCAGCTGGACTGGGATCTGTTCGCTGCTCAGTCATTAGCTGGCTGAGTGACCGTGAGCAAGTCCTTTTGCCATCTGTATGTTGTCATCTTCCTCTGATAATAAGGAATATTTGTTTTTCTTTTCAGAGCATTGTGAACTCATCCATGAAAAGGAGGTGTTTGATCACCTGCTTGAAGAGCATCCTGACTACCTTTCTCTTGGTTCACAATTGTAACAAACCTTTTCCTCAGCTTTTCCCTCTCTTATTTTTCTTGTGTCAGGTTCTTGCATGGTGGCTGAATTTTGTGCACCAATCTATTCTTTGGGTTTTCTCCTTTTGTCAGGTGTCTGCATATTTTGATTTCTCTGTAAGTAGCTGCTTCTGTCACTCTTTAAATTTCTAATAATTTCTAATAATATCTCCTCTGATTCAAGTATGGTAACTTGGATTGCTGATGCGTTTCAAAATCCTGCTTTGTTATTGAGGGCTGGCCTGTAATCACAGATTCTTGGTAGAACCAACTGCAGAGGCCTCTCCTGATTTTATAGGCATCTTTAGCAAGTAGAGAAATGTATATGTTGAAGAATTTGCCTGGCTGATAAGGGAGACTGAAGATTGAAAAGCTCCACACTAATTGTTTCTGAAAGGTAGAACATGGAGAATTTCAGGACGTGCTTTATGAGCACACCTGCTTAAGATGCAGAAAAGAGAAAGTATGTTAGTGTTCGTCTATACTTGGAAGTTATTTCAGAATAAGGGAAAGGGAGAGTTCTGGGAGAAATCCACGTAGGGGAATCCTTCATCTGAAATAAGTGCGCTTACACATGCACGAGTTGTTCCATAGTAGCTCCGTGGGAAGGAAACCTTTGGGGAGTTGTTTCTTTGCTTTGGACAACTCTACTGATTGTGCAGGCTCCTCATATAGAGAACTAAAAATACATGTAAGACTGTTTTTTATGTTGTTTCCTTCCTTTTGTAATAATCTACAAATTCCTACAGAATAAAAACAAAACCAAAAAACTCTGGAGGAAGAATTTTATGGTCTGGATTGCTGCTTTTTATTGGTATGCCAGTAGATGTTCTCCACTTGCTAATACTTTCCAAGTAGTGAACATCCAGGCTGGTTTTGCATGTGCCTCTCCACGCACACACCCTTCGTTCTTTAGTGGATATGATGACAAACCTTCAGTGATTCAGAGCGTACTCACTAGGTAGTTTACTCATGTGAGCCATACTGGTATTGCTTGTCAGTTTGAAGGACTAGCAGTAAATGCTGTTTTCTGTGCTGAAGTGTTATGAGTATGTTATTAAAAGCCAAGTGATCAGACTCTCACAAATGAATGAAATCCCTATATTGTTGCAGTATGTGCCTGGGAGAGAGCAGTTACTCTCATTGAACTTTGAGATCAACATGGCATTGCTGGGATGGGTCTTGGGTTAACGTTGCTCACTTAATGCAGTTAATCATTGCTTTATCAAACAGTAACCACCTTTTAAAATGTGATCCTAAAAGTAATGCTATAGGAATGCTAGAGGAAAGTTCCAGTCTATCTGTTTGTGACTGCTAGGATGTTTTTTACTGGTTAACGAACGCAAAGGTGGTTTGCTTGCTGTGCCTGGGATTTAAGAGTTTGGGTAGTTTCTCTTTCAGCTCAAATGATTTGCCATGAGAGCATAATTCAGAAAAGTGTGAATGAAAAAATCCTGCACAGTTCTGGGCTCTTTTTTCTTTCTTTTCCTGCTATTTCAGAATTTGAAGTAGGTGTATATAAGTATAGATTTGTGGTAAGTATACATTTATCCTCCAGGTATACATTGCTGGTAAAATGATGCCATTTAGCATGCAATATCCTGTAGTGCCTCATGAAGCTTTCTCCCTATTTCTTGGCAGGCACCCACCAGCAGAATGCACAAAGGGGAGTTTTACTAACAAACCTTAAGAAAACATTGTGTACAACTGACATTGAAGTAGTTAGCTTATGCTATGCTTGTATAGATGAATGAATGAGATTTGTTTTGCAATGCGTTATCTTCTCGCGTTGTATGTTCCCGTGTTGATTCACACAATACAGTCGATTTCTTAGCCAGTAGCTAGTTTTGCCATTGTTACTTATGTGATTGTAATTGCACTTTGAATTCAGCGTATTAGATTCTCTGATTATAAATGCTTTCCCAACTGGGAGAAGAGTATAGGGGTAGAGTCTCCTCTATCTGGTAAAACAGGAGCAGGCGGTACGTTGCACTTGCATTCGGGTGATGCATGCACAGCCACAAACTTCCCTGGTGTGGTAATCAAATGATGGCCTAAGGTGCCCTGATGACTTTGATTTAGTTAATAAAACCTCCCACGCAGCATTTATCAACCTAAATCGCTACCTGCACTTTTTCTCCTTTTGCCATTTAATCCACTTTAACTACTCTTTTTAAGTGCATTTGGAAGGCCAGATTCATCCCTGTGGATGGAACAAGGGGCAGATTTTGCCCCAGAACAGGAAATCTGCACATGGAAGAGTGCAGGCAGGCTGTAAGGGTTTTGTCAGAGACTTGCTGATAGATTTGACCTTCTGCTGCTGGCCTAAACACAGCCATCATTTATTTTTGGCACGCGAGGTCCACTTTTAAATATCTCGCCATAAGGGAGTTTACAGATAGTTTGATAAAGTCTATCCTGGAGTGGTTTTGTTTAGATAGGGCGTGTTATATACCCATGTAGCCACTAAGGTGGAAAGGGAAAATTACTTCCACCCGCGTGCTCTCAAAGGTGTAACCGGTGCTGGGGCGGGTGTTCGAAGCGGGGCCCTCCGGTTGACCTGTCCTTTCCAACACTCGGAGCTGGCCCCTGGTGACTCCCTCTCCCTCCCTCTCTTGCAGGAGCTGACCGCCGCTTCCCACCTCGCTCCTCGCCTGGCGGCTTGGAAAGCCCTGAAGAACCCCTTGGAGCGCCTGTACTGCTTCATGCAGTTAAAGTAAGCTTAAGCACTTTGGCAGCTTTCTCAGGTACACAGGTGATGGTTGAGGTGAAGAGTTCGGGGGGGATCAGTTTGCCAAGCTTACCTGCTGATGATGGGAGGGAATGCTGATATCAAAGTACACATTAAAAGCAAATTTGGGGGCAAGTTATTTTGCCAGAACATGTAGTTTCTTTGCAGAGGAAGAAAAAAGAAAAAAGAGGTAGTTACCCTACTGAAGAATACCACCCCTGCAAAGCCCCTCTGAGAGGTGAACTACCAGCTTTACTCGCACAGCATCGCGTGTGTCTCAGTTGCTCTTACGCCTTACATCAAGGTACTTCGTGTCCCCAGATTAGGCAAACAGCTATCCCGTTCAAAGACTGACTGAGGATTTCTTTTGGAGTAGGTCAGGATCAGAGCTCTTGCATGTCAAGGTCCACAGGAGTGTTTGTCCATGGATAACTGCTCCGGACCAGAGGTATCTCGGGCACGTGTGAGCCCACGGGTTGGCGCTCGACATCCCTCTGGGCAGCGCGACTCCTGCATCTGCATGGGACTGTCGAGGCGCTGGGTCACCTCAGCTTGTTTTCGTGTTGCAGCAGCTTGTCAGACTGCGGTGAACCCAATCAGGGAATGGATCTGACCTAAAAATAGTCTTCGTCTGGTTAATTACACAGCCTGCAAATGCAAAACGGAGTCGTTGGCAGGGGGCTGAGAACTGTTAAGCCAGTGTTGTCATGGGGAGAGATGTCCGTGGACCCATGGGCCCCGTCGTTACTATCTTGTGTAGTTAATGCAGTGCTGTTGGTAGTCATCCTAGCTGTTCTGACTCACGCAGTTACACCCATTCTCTGCAAAAAGACTTGAATTTGCAAAAACTGTTAGCCTTAAGCAAACTGTGAGAGTCTTGGAAATGGGCCCTTGCTGTATTTGAGCTCAGTCAAAAGAAGGAAAACCACCTCAAACTAACTGTTTTCTCCTCCCACTGTGTCTAACCTGTTTACCTTCCACTGTGTCTCACACTTTCCATGGTCTTGCCTAAGAGAAGGGGTGCTTTGAAAACAGCATGTTTAACGATACTGAGTCCAAATCGTTTGGTATTACTGAGCTGTAGCAACAGCTGGGTAGATTGTTCGTAAACTACTGTTACTCTAGAGAGACAAGTATTTATTGTAATCATTTTGATTTCCTTTTTTCTGTTTGTTTTTTGTTTTAGCGGGGTGGGCAGAGGAATTATACCTATTTTCAAATCCTGACACCTCCCCGAGAAGGAAATTAAGCCTTTGTTTGGCAGAACTATGAATGAAAGCTGCTTTATCGGGAAGGAATTCCTTTGAGGATGTGGCTGGCTGTGAGCTGGTTTCTGAGTTCATCCTGAAACTCAGACGCCCATTAGCTGAATGTACTTGGGCATGTTTAAAGGAGGAATGCTCCACCAGTTGTCATGTACGAGAAACAGTTTGGGAAAACAGTGGATCATCTCTGCGCTGGTCTGGCTGTGGATTTATGATGAAAAAAATCTTGACATCTAAAATGGATTTGATACTGTCCGTTTGCAGCTCGATTTGGCATTAGTTTCTTAATTTTGACGTTGATTTCCGGAGTGCAGTGAGGTTGCAGTGAGCAGCGCTTGCTGTTCAGGAAAGTGCTAGAGCCTTCCTGCGGGTGACTCGGCTGGGGAATAATTTCTTTGTTGCATGGCAGCAGCGGAGAAATCTCCGGAGCCCTGGTGCAGGCAAAGCACCTGACCGCCTGCCTGGGAAACAGCATCTCTATCGCGTCTGATTTCTGGGTGTGCCTCCTCTGAAGAAGCTGCAAAAAGCTAAACTCGACTCTCGGAGCGGCAGTCTTTATTTCTCATACCCTTTCCTCTTTTTGCCTGCCGGTGCAGTGTTTCCGTAACTGTGCTTATAATAATCATCTTTTCATTTCGTTCATGCGGTGGTAACTGCTTAATGAAGTTTGGATTAATGAACTCTGTAACACTTAAAATAGCTGCATAACTTGAAAAAACAAATTAGTAATAAAGGGACGTATTTCCACTGGCCAAATTTAATCCCGCGTTATAACCTAATTGCACATAGTTGTCTGGTTTACGAACAGCTGCACAGCGTGGCCTCTCAGTTCTGCATAGCTGCTTGTCCATGATCTTGGGCAGTAAATGATTTACTGGGGAGGCTGGAACCTGTGGGCACTTAACCCGTTCAATTCCTGAGGGATTGGTCTGAAAGACCATTTTGTAAAGGCAATTGAGAGAAGAAATGATATCAGGTGTTAAGTAGGATGTGGGTTTGCAAAGCTTGCTTTATTGGCCGTGGGCTACCTACAGAAAAACTTGAACCCAGAAATTGAGGTGGTGGAACTGGGTAGAATCTGTGCTTATTTGGATTTTAACATATGATTTGATTAAGAAAAAATCTGAACTTTCTTTCAGATTGTTTTCTATTGTCTGTTTTATTTGGAGATGTGATTTTTCTTTGTTGCTTGTGGTTTTACTTCTTGTCATGCATTCCCTGGATGTGGAGCGTAATACTGTGTCCTAGGAACAGAGCTGGAACTCCACATTTTTCTCTCTGGTGACCCAGTGCCAACTGACTCCATCAGTGCAATACTTGCTGGGAGTGGAGGGAATGATGGCGTTTTTGAGACTGTCATGCCTCGGAAGGGGTGCTCCGCAAACATGAGCATATTTTATGACTACCTAAATGTGATATATGTTGGACTATTTTTTCCTATAGTTGATATGTGAAGTGAAAGGAAAAGAGTACTGAACAGGAAACAGTTCTTAATTTTGCAGTGACAGATACCTTCGTGCTGTATGCAGTAGGGAGTGGAGTTAACATTGGTTCTCAAGTAGGAAAGCAAAAGTTTCTGATTAAGGCTTCCTCTTCTGGCAGAAACTCCCAACCACACTTTCCTTGATTATGTGCTCTCTTTCATGCCTAAGCAATCAGCTGCGGAGCTGGAGAGTGGAGCATTTGCAAAAGGGAGCCTAAAGGGAAAAGTGAATCTTATGTATTCTTTGGAGAGGAAAAATGCATAAAAATGGTGGGTAGTAAAGTTCCTCCGTGACCGAAATGAGAGCGGAAGCATCTCTTGGATCTTGGTCTTGATGCCAGTTTTTCCAACTTTGCGTGTGGCTTTAGCAGTTCAGGTTGGTGCATGTGCTCATTAAAATATGCATTGGATAACTACCTGGTTTGCACATACTGGGAAATACTTAATAATATTTGTCAGCATAAATGTGTGCATGCTGCTTTGGGCCTCATGAATCACTTTGTACTGCAGGCCTACGTTTTGGGGAATGCAATACAATGGCTGCGGCTGTTCTCTGGTGGAGCACAGAGAGAAAGCTTTTTTTTTTTTTTTTTTTTTTTAAATAGCTCTTCTCTGGGGCTTTGTGTTTTTCTCATTTGCTGTGAGCCATATAGACTAGTAGTGAAACTCTTTGCTGAATGCACTTCTTTAAAACAGCACACCACTGTGAGTCAGGAGAGGAGTCGGGTAGAAAAAGTGTTAGATTCAGGCCAGGTGTTACAGTCAAAGCTGCTGGAATCAGTAATTAAAAGAAAGTTTACGCTCTCTCACTGCGTATGTAAGACTTTGCAGGCACCTCAGTGTTAGTGACAGCTATCCATATTCTTTGTCCTTTTATATGCTTGGGGCAAAATACTCCCGGAGTCATCCTCTTCCCTTCCTTCCGTTCTCCCTCTGATTCTGAGCATTCAGAGCCTATATATATAGGCATATATAACGCAGCTCAGTTTTCAAAAGTAGCTAGCAACTTTCTTGATGCTTCTGTTGCTGACTGCCTGCACTTTGGGCTGAACCCCATTTCTGCAGAAAGTTTTAGTTTTACTTGTCCTTTGAAAATCGAGGCTTTTCAAGAAGTGTCTCGTTGGGTACCCAAGGTCAATAATCGTTCTTACAAATGTAAGGTGGATATTTTTGAGGACTTCCCTAGAATCTGCTGCCAGAATGCATATTCTAACTGCAAAGTGTATTGAACGGTGTAAACTGTGTTTTACTCATTTTAAGGGGCATCTAGAATGTCTGCTAAGGCTTTCTGGAAGTTAATATTTGAGACTGAGATTAATGTCTTATGCATACGTGAAACAGCTGCCCCAGAACCTGTTGGAGGACTTAATTTGAGTATAAACATATGTGTGCTTTTGCGTACATGCTGCACTTTAATTCAAGTCGACTGTTAGTTCTTAACTTTATTAGGATGTAGCTACTTGAACTGAAGACGTGGCTTGCGATTTTTATTTCATTAAAACAGCATGATAGCTACTTTTGAAATATTGTTTAGCTTTTACAAATTGACATCTTACATACTGTTTGCTGTTGGTAATATTTTAAAGCAAAAATTGGCAAATGAGGGCAGGGTTATAGCGTATTACAAGGGCATTAGTTGATAGTACGTATGAGCTTTAAAATGTAAAATTGATCATACTGTGCTGGTGACCCTTGCACTTCTACAAAAGGCTGGTCTTTTTGCTGCACAAATAGATTCCGGACACAGGAAAGAGGCTTATGAGAAGAGGATGAGATCAGTCTGAATAATTAGAGCTGGCTAATAATCCTTTTAACTCTCTTTGGTTTCAACTTTTACAGTGTCTTTATTTGGAATCGGGCATGTGGCCTGTGGAGTGACAAACTCTATGATTTGAGTTTTTTGGTTTTTGTTTTTAATATATAAACATATCTATGAAAGGGTGAAGAAATGGGAGCAGAGAAACCAGCTGTATGCATTTGAGAGAGACTGCTCTCTTCCTCCGCTCGGCGCGGGGAGTGTCGCTGCTCTTGTTAACCCTAGTCACTGCTTGATCTGTTTCTAGGATTTGGGTAGGACTTAAGTAATCCATTAAATGATTGTTGGCAATTATTGGAGCGTTACAAAAGAAGAAATTTAGTCATGAGACTGAGGGTATTTGGCTAGATGGTCACCCTTTGAACAAGAAAGGAGTGACAGAGGCAGGTACGGGAGTTTGTATAGCACTGAAAAGGTGTGA